GGGGCGGCCCCGACAGACAAGGGCGAGAGGGAGCGGGAGGAAAAATGGCCGGCGCGAAGTGCGCGTAATGAGGCCCTGTCGTGGTGGAGGCGGAGGAGACGGAAGGGGGAGGGCTGTCGAGAAATTGGCGGCGGCTCCGAGCGCAGGCGAATGGCCGGCGGCAATTAGGCAGAGAGGCAGCGGCCTCTTTTGTCACTTTCACCTACGCGCACACGCGCGCCGTTGCGGCCTACTAGAGGGCTCGGTTTCTTCCCTCGCTGCTCTACTTCGCGTCTCTCCGCTGCCTAAGAGGTCCCGACAATTTAAAAAGGTTTTACAACTTTTTTTTTGCGGTTGTTCGACTTCGCTCGCTCTTCAACCCTCCGTACATCTTCCCGTCCTCATTCTTTGAGGTTGAACATATTACTAAGTTCTAGTCATAGGCCTTTGTCTTTACAGCATCGTCGATTGAGAGTTACTAGAATTAGAGACCGGATGGTGGCGAATTTTCGACACCAGCTACAAGACTGGGTTGAATTAAAATAGGAGTCTGTCTGGAGAAGAATAATAGCAGCTAGTTGCTCTGATAGGTTGTGTTCCACGGTTTTTGAGAATATTACCTTCTCGAAATTGTCCCATGATTCTCCTTAGACACTGACGATGCACAACACTACCACGCATGTCAGGAGACAAGCAAGGAGCTTAAAAAGACCGTCATGTTTCTGAGAGTGATACCCGAGGACAAAAGACGATCACGCCGGTTAAGTCTTCGCGGGATCTCACTTCCTGTGGTAGAGGAACACTTACTCATCCCATGATTTAAAATGTATACTTACGAGACTAATAACTAAAATAGTTCACGATCAAGTAATCAATACTAACCGACTCACTCACTGAGAATAAGCACGGAAGAAAACATGCAATTAAATGTCCTTTTTCAGAGCATAGTGGTGGTTTGATTTTGCGCCCTACTGTAGAAACAAAATAGGATGATTATGAGAGGTGATTGATGTATATATTTGACTTATTATGAATATTGTGATAGCTCATTTGTAACGGATGGTTTCATCAGTGAGGTGAACCACGACACAACCATCTGCTAAAAACGCTCATGCCGCGCACACAACGATTTGAAACCGCAGGCTTCGGACACGCGTGATCACGCGTTGGTTCCCGCCTCTGCGTCGCCGATGCAGTCATGCGACTGCAAGTCACCAAAATGTCTGTAGTTCTAATAAAGAGCAAATGGCATCGACTAGCAAGACGGCAGTATAAAAATGAGGTTTTTAACATGCGGTAATGGATATGTCACGATGACAAAATATTACTAATTATGATTGATTTTGTACTGCCTACATGTTATACAAGAGGTAAGCTGACACAAATACTCTCAGTTTGCCATCCCCTTTACATTCTGTTGACAAATTGGCTACTTTGATGAATTTTCCATACGACATTGACAAATCATGGTGACTGAGATCTTCCCACAGTAGTACCTGTAGTCTTCATTTACATGAACGGTAATTTACTATTTAATAATTTAGTACTTAACTTTATTAAGTTTTTTAAATTGAAATGTAAATTACAAAAAAATATTTATTTTCATTTAAACTCGTGTACGAATGTATTATGAGAATGGTCGAGCTTGTCAGATAGAAAATTGAAGTTTCGGATTCCTGATCTTGAAAAATATTACTTTATTTTTTATCTTTATTTGTCGGCCTTGGCGTCAGTTTTTACATTTGTAGATTATTAACTGTGGTCATGTTTTTTTTAAATAGGATATTTCTGGTAAGCGGAGGCGCATCTCCAGCAGTAAGGTCAGTCACAGCAGCATTAAGAGCAGCCCCCGCAGAAGCAACTTCCGCAGCTGCTGGAGGCTGTTCCTAGGCGCTGTAGCAAGCGCCTGCAGTTGCTCCATGGCCCCTACACTCTCAGTTGAGCGAGAAGGATGAAGTATAGTAGAGATACGAATACTTCAGAGCACCGCCAGTGGTTCCGCGAGCAGAATTAGTGGCGGGACTGCCACTAGGAGGCAGCAGCGCCCAGCAGCCCCAAGCAGATGAACATGCCCGCCCAGCAGGAGTTCCCCCTCCGGCCGGAAGGGGAATCAGCGTCCGCCCCTCCCTTCGGGGCAACGCCGACAGCCTCTGGTTACACAGTAGTCAGTCTACAGGCTTATTACTATTGCGTAGTTACACCTTTGGCATTGAACTCAGTTTATTTCTCATTTAGTTTGTGAATTGTTACCATTGTATTAATTTGTGGAAATAAATTTGTGATTTTGGAATTCTGTTCTCGGGCTATTAATTTAGTATACTAATATTTTACGTAAATTAAAATAGGAAAATATAATTACAATAAGTAAAAATGTGCTATCCCTTATATGTAACGTTCTAAGGAATGATTGCGGATATTTCTTTTTTATAAGAAACGAGGGCCACAAAACCCGTTTTAGTACAGGAAGTGTATTACTGTTAGGCAGAGAATTACCCTCAAGAATGCATTTAAAACATTTAATTAAGAATAAAACGAAGATTACGGAGTAAAGGCTATTAGATAGTCATGTCCACATGCAACACACAAATACATTACAACACAACACACACGTTACCTTGGTATTTGAGTCGGAAACGAGGGATACTAGAGCCTTAAAATCTGTTTGTCTCTGAACGAGACTCAATTTATGCTTTGTATACCGTAATCTTCAAAACGAGACATTTTTGGGCATTACATTTTTTATAGTTCCGTCAATCCGTAACACGGATTGCCAGAAACGCATGGTTGGCAAAAAATGTAAAATATGAGTTGCAGTGTCAAGCAATTTTCACTTTTAAAACAATGATTTAAAAAGTCATTTTTTATAATAAGATTTTTTGTGAAAATTTTTCACTAAGAAACATTTGGTGAAATATTTTGGGTAACATGGGAGAACGTTTTGGGGAACGTTTAGTAGGAAGCTGTAGTGACCATGTGAAAAAACATTCAGGAGAATGTATGAGGAACGTGGGTCGGTGCATGCGGAGATATTTGCCAGATACATGTGAATATGCAAGGGATTATGTAATAAACATGCGAGGGAAAATATGGTGAACATGTGAAAAAACATGATGAACATGCAAGAGATCATGTGAAAATGCGAAAGAATGTATGGGGTTACTTTGCAAAGGAATATGTAGTGATCATTTGAGAGAACATGGGAGCGGAATATAACGTGAAGAAATCTGATAAAACATACGGGGTACAGGGAAAGCAAATAATTGATGAGTTCTTTTGGTGACCCCTACTACGAACATGTTGGTCAAGAACGAGCAGAAAATAGAAATATACGGAAAATTAAATTGACACGTTAATAGTCTCATAAAAAGGATCTACAATGCTTCAATGTTCAATTCAGATTCTAGCTTGGAGTTGGGATCCAAAATAATGCTATTTATATTTTTAAAATAATTATTTATAAAGCGCAGAATTTTCACAGGGGTTCATCTAGTTAGCTCTATCACAAAATCCCTATTACAAAATCGCATTAATGAAATGATTGCGCAAATACAAAACAAAAGCGATGATATACCAGAGTAATAACTTTATTCCGATTACATTTGACACAATAATATTTCTATAAAAACCGACTTCACACAAACCTCGTTAAGCATTTGAATTTCTAAGAGCAAGCAACGTTCCTATAATGGCAAAAATTATTCCACACACTGCCATTTTTTGTTCGAAGCGCTAGAATGAAAAAGAACAACTGTTGGACCGTGCATCTTCAGCGAAGTCAGGGGAGATAAAAGAAAGGGCGCAAACGCTATGCATAAATACTGCGACAAAACATGAGAAAATGAAAAGAAATGAAATACTAAAATGTACGAGGGGACGCAATGCAAGCCCGACCCGCTACAACGAACGGGGCATTTTGTTTGCATACGAAATGCGGAAGAACATGTTTGTCGCAAAAACGAGGTGAGATCGGGGGTAAGGCGTTGGGGCAATAAAATGTTGAGCGAACAGAGCGCGGTATCTGCAGACATCGCCCGGCCGGCAGTGCTGTTTCGGCCGCTGACGTCATAAACCATTACGCATTAAATTGGGTTGCGGCGCGCTCCGGGCTCTCAAATCTCAGGAAGCCCTCGCCCCTCTCCACCAAGGAGTAGCCTCTCCCACCAGGTGCGGCACAGTGGGACCAAGTGGTACGAAAGTATGCACAAACAGTTACTTTCGAAAAAAGTACCGTAAGTCACCTTACTACAATATGATATTAAAGAACTATCAATTGACACCGTCAAGTAAAGTTCGTTAACCAATTCAGTGTTGTAATAAAATACGTCGTTACGAATATGCTTACGTTTTTGTTCATTGTAAAAATTCCTGTGTAGTAAATATTTCATTTTATAAAGTTTGATAATGGTTATAAAAATGTGGCCAATACTTCGTGTTCGAAGTAGTATTCTTTTACAGGATCTCTATTGATTTTTTATGCCTCATCCAATAATATTAGTATCAGCGATGAGAAAGGCATCACTTTCTGCACTTAATACTGGAATAAGTATACGGAAACGCAATACATAACATTATTACAAGTTCTGCAATAAGCTGGCAAAATTATTTTGAAGCCAAAAGTAAAACAGTAAAACGATTTAATTACCATAAGAACACTTAATTTTTACCGAACTTTTGTCCTTGTGTACGCTGGACATTCATCAATTGATTGAAAAAGTGAACCAACAATTTTCCAATATTTTCTCAAAAGGTGTTCAAATATTTTCTTTAAACTTTTTATTGCAGTAGATCACAATAAATGACACTGAATTAAATGTCAGAAGTTATATTTTCATTAAAACTTTTGAATTTTCAAAAACTGAAAATGTGTTTTTTATTCTGTCCCTTATTGTTGGCTGAAAGAGTTTTTCAAGGGATAGTTGTAATGTTAAGACAAAAGTACGTTAGTATTAAAATATTTAGGATATTAAAATATTACGTAAATTACAAATACTCTTAATACAAGAAATAATTTTCTGTTGTAGAATCATCAATTGCACTCAACATAACTTTAAATGTTGTCTGTGTTTCTGAAGATATATCTGCTGGTAATAAATATATAACCATCACCCGTGAGTGTCGCATGTGAAATTTTGATGAGAATTCCTCATTAGAAATTCCTTCACATCTTCCTGCAATAACACTATCATGAAGTTGATCCAACCACAACCGCTCAAATGATTATATACTTAAAACACTAAATCATTTTTATGATTGTCACATTATTTAATTATTTTGTTTGGTTCAAGAATGTTATTAACTATTTTTTTACAATTTTTTTTTGCATTTTGATTATTACAACGATCATTGTGAGTCAACATTCATTTAAATTTTAAACTATTAAATTATAACAACATATATGACAAAACTTCTTACCTTAAAATCCAGCCGCCGTCGGGACCGGAACCTAGGGCTTCCCGGTCAGTGGGACTGCAATGACATCAGTTGATGCCCAGAGCTATCTCTCCCGATCCCTTGGCAGCAGAAGATGCACAAATTGGTTATTATAGTTATAAAGTGAGAAGCTTTATAAATTAATCTTACACATGAAGTTTCTCTAGATAAATAAGTTACGAAAGAAAGAAATCATGGAGGGTCAACGAATTGTTTTGGTATTATTCCTTTTTCTATTTCAGTGTGGATCATATTTTGCTAGTTGAAAATGAATTGAAGATATATTAATTATGCGATAGAAAAAAAATGATTCCTAATTTACAATGAATTTGTGTTTTTGAAATAAAACAAGGAGATTTAGTGATAGTTCGGAGACTACTATTATGAGAAGTTCGTAATTATTTAGTATTTGTTTTTATGCTGAACCACAAATTGTACACGCTTAAGGAATTATTGGTCCAATCATGGTATGTGTTTTGTGAATCTATAATTTCGTTAGAATACCAAATGATGCGGAATTATTTATTAGAGAAAGTTACTGATGCCATTTTCCCAAAATTTCACAATTGTCAATCAATCTGGCTGAGCTCAAAGCCCTTCAAATTTGAAAAACCGACATTTTTAGACATATTTTACAAGAATTTACGCTTCATCATTTTCAATTTTTTCTCAAAAAATATAGCTCATTCGAAAGTGAAAATTGTCATAAATTTTCGCTCAGAGGGAATCGCCTGCGCGTGAGTTAACCTCAAGAGCGAGTACACTGTGATCGTCTTGTTTCGGTAAGGCAGTCCACTGCGTTACCGGCAGCACCACCGCCGCGCGCCAGCCACCAACCCCCAATATGAAGCTCGCGGTCGCCATTCGTCTTCATTCCAACTTCCGGGTAATCCCAGTGGCTGCGGCGGCAGCGCGAGAACGCAGTTACTTCTGAAATTTTAAAATTCAAGTGTCCACGAGATTTGTTGAACACGAAACTTAAAATTGCGCAACTTTCTCCTCGCCATGCACGGAGGCATGGCGTTTCGCTTTCGTCGCTCAGCGCCTTGCCACAGCACCGCCTTCGCTGCTGCTTCCATCCCCCCGGCACCCGCCCCCCTCCACCTGCCACCGTTCTTATCGCGGCCGCACCCACCGCCACCACCCGCCCTCCACCCGCCCACTACCCTCCCACTATCCGCGCCACCATCCACCCACCGCCGTCATACTAGTTAACGCAGTAGCCTCAACCCCCACGGCATCTTCGTCTTCGTCGTCGTCGTCTAACCCATCCGTCGACGTCATCGACTTATTCTCCCCTCCACCACCGCCTCCGCCTACATCGCCACCAGCAACCCCCTGCCACCGCATCCGTCTACACCACTGACACCAATATTTGACTCCGCCAAGCGTTTTTGCGTCCGACACCGACATCGCCTTCAACCTTCGTCTCCCCACCGTCTATCACTATCGCCAACCAATAAACTAAGAAATATTGTATCGTCTCCCTTTCCGACACTCGTCTCCGCTACAACCTTCAACACTGCTACCACATCACCTCCATTCCCGCCTCTAGTCTCGCCGCAGCTACGCCGTACCAACTTATTCCTACGAGCGGAGGCGCGAGTGAATAATGTGCTGTTCCCCGGAGGAAGCGAAAATTAAAGTATACCTTAAGGAATGTAGAGGAGATTAGGTGCTTGGATTTACTCGAGCACGCCGAGTACTCAGAAGCTTGCGTTTGCCGTCAGAGCGCTCTTCGTGGCATCTTTCCTCTCTGTATGGATTTACTTCTTCTTGCAGTTATTACATGACTTTGGAACCTTCTATTTTTTTTCTTTTCTTGATTTACTTATATTATAACTTAATTATACTATATTACTTGATTTACTGTATTATCTCATATGCACAATGCTTTTCCAGGAGAAGGCATTTTACATTGTCTTTCCAAAGCACATGTATCTCTAACCTACCTTTTAAATTGAATTGAATTTGCCTTATTTTACGTGGCGAGACTCGGGCCATCAGGCCCGCTCTTCCGTCTGACCACGCAAATTTCGCTACGCTCCTTTCACCAACTAGGAGAAAAAGGAGGTATTTCTTGGGCGAGAAACAGGCGATTTGAATTTAGCTCAGAGGCGTCATTTAGGCTTGAGGATCTTTTACATGCAAGTAAATCTACGAACATGGGACAGCCGGCTTTACTTCCCCCCGAAGGAAGGCGTACGAAGGATTTTTTCGCCCTTAAATATCCACGGCTTCGATCAGGTTTGAATCCGCCAAGTTGGGTACAACAATCCAGTACGCTAACCGTTACACCATCGCCGCCGCTACCTTTTCAGTCTAATACGCCAGCATTCTATATGGATTTACCAAAACGCGAGACACTATCACAAAACGTCTGGTGTCACATTTGTAAACCATAAAATGTGCATCATTGAAATGTTTATTAGCGACATTCTCAAATTCAAGTTTACTTTCAACATTTCCTCACGGAGATATCATAAATATTCCTGCTTTTTGCTTCTCAACTTACAACTTTATGTTCATCATATGCTTTTCACTTATCCCTTTTTTTACACCTTTAGCGAATTCTCCATTAATCTAATTTCTTCTAATGTCCCTTTCCTCCTTTTTCATCTGTCTTCAGATTCTTTTCATACTACAGAATCTGCTTCACTTTCTCCATAATGTCTGTCCCTTCTACCATTACCTCACAATTTCTTCTTCACTCTTTCTGCTCCAATGTCTCTTCCTCTGTTTCCTACATTTTCTTTCCCCCCAGCCATCTTAGTACTTCCTGCATCTATTCTCTTTACCTAATTTAAATCTCACTCTCCTGCTTATCCTGCTACTTTTCCTTTCTTATTCCCTTGAAGTATCTTTGCCTACTCAAACTCTTGTTTCTTTGTACATCCGTTATATCTACTGTTATGAATTTTCTCTCGCTTCCTTCCTCTGTAACTCAATAACTCTTTTTCCTTGAGATTTTCTTTTCATCTCAGCCTTCCTAAGCATTCCTATCCCTTCAGTCACGAACTATCTTTCTCTAAATAAATCTTGCCTTTCTTATTACCTTATTGGCTAACTTTTCTCTCCCCTATTTTTTACTCGTTTCCGATCTTGCTTCCCCAACTCCATCTGTCTCACCTATAACCTTCCAGTAATTCAACAATTACCAGCCGCTCTCACATTGTTTCATCTAATTGTCATTAATCTCACCATGTAGCACAACGTACATTTTCCTGTTCCAAACACCAACTTTTGAATTTATTTTGACATCCTTTTATCTTTTTATTTAATTATTTATTTACTTATCGTCAAAATACAGATAAAATCTTTGGAAAGTAATGCATTTGCCGTACTGTGGAGAGAAGTGAACATGTGTATGGTTTCTTGAGCCCTAGGAGTGACATCTTCATTCTTTTCTGCCATAAGTGACTGACACTCCCATCTCGTATATTCTGTATCAATTTACAACGAACGGGCAATGAATTTCTGCTATTCATTGTCATCATATATGTATAAATTGGGCACGTGTAATGCAATGCGACCATTTTCTAAATCTGCTCGTGGCGCGAGGATTTGGCGAACGAGCCTACGGATGCCGGCGAAATCGAGACAGGGCGGTCAGTAGAATAACCGAAGGCTTTTCGCTACCGGAGAGTTTTAATTCTACTCGCGTAATAATAGGAGCTGGAACCACGGTTCTGCTATATTCTTGACATCTAAATACGTTCTGGTTCACTCAGTAAAGTATGTCGTGTGGTATTGCAGAGATCTGTTCCTGTATATTAAGTCTTAAGTCTTCTTCCGTCAGGGGATTTATTGCATTTATGCGATCTTTCAAAACTTCCCAAAGAAGGAAATCGCATGAAGTCTGATCTGGAGAGCGTTCAAACTACAAACCACGCACGATAATATATGTCTCCATAAAGGGCGTGTAAACTCTTAAGGACTCTGTAGGAGTGTGTGCGATTGCTAAGTCATATTGATACGACCATAAACCCCATTTGCCAACATTTAAAAGAGAGGCTCAGGACTCAATGCACATTGAAACATTTTACGTTCGTGTCAAACAAAAATACTTTCAATTTTAGACGGAATTTCGAGCGAGCCATCCCAAACCGTCTATTCAACAAGACTGTAAAACATGTCCTTTGCAGGGCGAGACTTAGAAAATCTCCCGTCCGCAGCGTTGCCAGAGGAGTTCAGCCCACCGTTCCATGGTGAGTGCGGCCCCGTCGGCCGAACTGAACTACCCACGATGACGGCACACTGGCTATATGCAGCCAATGTCTAAATTCCGCCACCGTCAAGACTCACACCCTAAAACCGCCCGAACAGAGATGCTGCAATTTGGAAGGGTTTAGTCGATTGTCCAAAAATTCAAACCGATGCAAGATTTACCTTATTAAAGGTCGCACGTGCCTATTAACATTGTCCTGCGGTGTTTTAAGGTAACTTCGCTCATTACGTTCATTTTCGAGTCCTCATTCAGAGAGGAGGCATCGATGTCAATTCATTTTGTTGATTTATTTGTTTTGGTGTGCTAAATCTGTTAGGTCAGATGTTATTGGTTGATATTTTTTTCAATTTCATATCCTTAATTTAAAATGTGGAAACATCATTCTGGAAAATATTACTTTTAATTGAGGAGTAGGCTTGTGTCTCA